GCGCACATTTAATTCACTGGCAGGTTTATAAATAGTTCACATTCATATTCAAATGAACTCACTGTACTTACGACAAGCGTATATTGTGGGTTGTAATTTACATGGGAAAGCGGTCGGTGTATGTTACGTGGAGTTCCTCGACCGACTCTGTGCCACCATGCAACGACCCTTCAGTTTACGCGATGTGGATGATCCACGCCAAAATTAACTCCCCCGTTCGGATTATCGAGTGACGAAACGATGTAATCTCCAGGGGAGGAGTAATCCCTGAAAAAACCTCGGTACAGAGGACTCGATTCGATTTGAGCACCGTGAAGCGTGTTTGGTTTCAACGAAGAGGTTCTGACAATGTCGTCGACCATGGGTGGATCTTACCTAGAGGATGATGATGACCAAATCAGTGAGTAATTTTGTTGTTTCAAGTCATCGTATAGTCACTATATGGCATGGTAATTAGGATGGCAACTCCTTGCCTTCGGAGTGACACTGTGAACGTCACAACAACACGGAATGATATGACGAAACGTATTTTATGCATACCTTACTAGTGTTTTGATCGACACTTCCGCCTTGTGTGACCCATATCCATACCCCTCCCAGTACTCCCAACCACCTGCTTTATGAATCGTTTATTGTACAATTGAGTCGCCGCGGGTGAGCGATGACAGACATTACCACATACCGCGAGATGGTATTGTACTGGGTATTTTCAATCATCGCGTTCACCGTATGTATGATCGTCTGCCGACTCCATAGTCAATGACCTACGTAACATAATAGAAATATTCAATAATATCGCGCCACTCGAACCGTGACTTGCGATACTATAGGCTTAGCCTACTCAGCGACCACGGTACACATCGACACAGGGGCAAACACCTAAAAGGAATGCGGTTGCGTTTTACCTTACCTCCCTCAGCTAGTAATTCAATTGTGTAAATGTTGTCACGAAAGATAAACGGCACAATGAATCACTGATTTAGTCGATGGTATTGAAGGCCACGGAACTCGGTGATATGACAAGCGATCACTCACGTTAGATGCCCCTGGTGTTGGCAGTTTACGCCCTAAACACTGGCAGATGTGTTTTGATACTATTCCACAGTAATCACTGTAGACAACTTACGGTTGCTAAGCACCGCGGCCTCCTTTTCAGCGTTAACGGTTCCGATACGTATTTTTCGTCCACACTGTGTATAATAATAATAGTTTATTACGCAACTGTAATCTGATGTGGATACAGTAAGGTAAAAATAGTGTAAAATAAAGCAACTAAAAATAACTACAAAAATATAATGATACACCAACCACGTGCTATGGACATCGTAAAACTCGTTATTAATAAGCAATAATCGTAACAATATGACATTAATAAGGTTTGCTGTGCCAGCGGTGGTCTATTCCAAAATGACAGATGAGTGCAACTACGAAGATAACTACTTACCGCTGCCACTATTATATAATAATTTCGTCCTCTATTGTTTATTTCAGGGATGAGTCAGATATATGTGTGTAGTATGCCATGTATGGCCTTGATTTATGTTTAAACGATTATTCTGACTAATGACCTTCATTTTCAATAATTCGCCATCGGTGACCTATTTATTTATTTAGTAATTCGCATCTTAAAACATTATCCCAAGTTTTTAAATTCCCTGTTGAGGTCATGAAATGCTTGTTCCTATGGTACAAAATTGACTATGTACATTATATAACATTTACGAATACAAAACACATGTATAACCGTTCGAATCGTTGTCTAAGAATATTAAAATATACTCTCACTCATATGAAATGAAATTACACAAGTCACAGTAAAAGTCAATGAGTTAATATCATGTATACAATAAATGAACCCGATTACTTTCCTATTCGACCGTGCGTATCACTGATACCGGAAGACTCCAAATAACGAGCAAGTTTCCGGGACGCTAATTGTTTCCATTAGGTAATAATAATGTTTATATCTGCCAAATTCGTCTTCAAGTTTACCTTGCTTGTTTTAAAATCTCAAAGCTAACGGCTAGTATTCTGTCATAGTACTAATATCGGCAGTGTTAGGTTATCGCCTGAAATTCTGCCCAAGAGTGTGCCTTTCAAAGATAAACGCATCGCATGAATAATTAATAACAGTTTATAAACCACGCACGGTGTTTCGTGGATAGTTCAACTTCAGATACAACTTTCAATAATTCTGCATATATTCAAACGCAAACTCGTGTCCTTGACCACCAATGTTTACGACATATCATATATTTGCGTGTGTGAGTTTACTTTGAGTATTTATGAAATGTCGACGATAAAACTATTCATAACAATAAACCCCCTTGGGTGACTGACTGATTCCGAGTCGCAGACAAGGTTGATTTATTAAAGTATCGTCCTAAAACTCCTCTGTCCGGGATGTACAATCCTTCTAACGGGCTTTGATGTCTGATTTAGAACCATCGAAACAAGAATTTTAAAACGTTACAGACAATTTAAATTAAATTTAATGGTACTCCCAACATGATTTCGCGGAGTGGAGGTAAATAATGTCTCTAAATAAGCTGTTATAGAGAAAGGCTGAGCCAAATTTCCAACAACTTATTCACACATTGCTTGTCGCCTGATTATACCGAATTAATCGCCTCAGCACTTCGCAGAATCGACGCGATAACGACTATAATCAACGCTATACGTGAACGGAAACACTAACCCGCAGCCAGATAAGACAAAACGTCGTTTCTAATTGGCTTGCACCCCGTCGTTGTAAATTCTTGCTGTTGATAGACGAATAATTACCAGAACTTATAACATATATTGTGGTGCTTCCCCGGTCTTTCTCCCGGCAACTAAATTCACAAAATTTTGTTATCACGCGGAAACACCTGTCGACACTAAAGAATACTAACCATTGTACAGCGTATAAAATGAATATTGGTTAACTCTTCCATTTTGAGTCACGTGATACGGCGGGCAGCTCGTCAAATATTAATTGAAAATGCATATGGTTTACGTAAGTTGTGAATTCATTCTTCGGAGAACCATAAATATACGAACCCGAATTAGGGAATAATGAGTTCAGTCCATCCCATGAGAAGCAGAGAACTTAAGATTAATCTTTACTTTGTACATTCAGTTGTACACGTCAGATATTGTCTGGGTGATGAATGCTGCAAGACTCTTAACTCGAATGGAAATTGCATACTCACGAGATCTACAAACAAGGCTTTAAATACTAAATAGGCTATTCCCAAAAAACATATGAACTTGCTTGTACCCATTAATTTCAAATTTGTCACTCCCTCCA